AGTGATTTCTAAAGGATCATGTGACTGCACACTGGAGTAATGAAGCTGAAAAATCATCTTTAAAACACTGGAATAAATTATTAAATTAAATTACAAACTACTTTTGAACAGTTCCTTTATAGTGCAATAACGTTTCACATTTTAGCAATTTTTACTGTATTTTTTTTAGATTTATTATTGGCCTATTTGGCTTATTAGATGGGACAGTATTTAAACACGAATCAAAGTTGGAGAGAGAGGGGGGGGATAGGGTAGGGAAATGTCCTCGAACCAGGATTCAAACACGGGATGCCCTGACTTGCTACTGCACCATATGTCGCCGTGCTAACCACTAGGCTATTGCGCAGACATTTTCTACTGTAAAAATTCTACAGACCCTAAACTTTTGATCGGTAGTGCGTGCGTGCGTGCGTGCGTTCGTGTGTGTGTATGTGTGTTGTGTTTAAAAACCCTGCATTGAAAATTATTTTACCCACTATTGTTCTCAGTTCTGTTTCTGTAAGATTTAATTGGCCAGTATATGAAACCAGAAGTTGAACACATCCTTATTTAAAGAATATCAGAACAATATGTATGTGTCTCTATGTGTTAATCTAATCAATAAATAAGAATAATTTAATTCATTTGTTTATTTGTTATTTCAAGGATTTATTACTATTTTTCAGAAACCTATTAGTCAATAAAAAGTAGTAGTGGTAATAATATTCAGTATTGTCTTATACACAAGAGGATTAGTATGATACTTATTGTTTCCTTTTCATCATTTCAAAGGCAGTGTAAAACCTGGGTGGAGCTTGGGTTTTGAGCTCTGCAAAGTTGTGATGTCTGCTTTTATTTGCACAGTAAAAGAGAAAAAACACACAGCTTAGTTAGAGATTACCTATAGTAGTCTGTGTGGAGTGTGGGTTTCAGAGTGATGTGGGTTTTTCTGCTGTCCACGCTTTTGAAAGATTAAAAAAAAGAGACAGCCTAAAAATATTCGCTTGCTTCATTTAGCCACACATTTGTACAGCAGGAAACGACTGGGTCTCGTCTTCAGTCTGTCAGTGTTCAAAAAAGAGACCGACAGCATGTGTGAATGTGGCTGCAGTAAAGTTCCTGTTTTTTCCTTTCACCACAAGCAGGCGGTTCCACCGATGGTTTGAGGAAAAGAGGCTTCTGACTGTCAGGATTAGTCAAATACCCTCTGTCGTCACTTGAGGACCAGAATTATTGAAGTTTCACTGTTTCTCGTGGGAGCAGGAGTTTTATGCGTGGAAGGTAGGCAAGTGGGATGTGCTTTCACTAGCATGTTTTTCTGTTTGTTACGTTATTTTTCTGTGTAATCAAAGAATAAGTTATTAAAATATACTATTTTTAGTTGGACAAGAGCATTCTTTGTAAAAATGGATGTTCAGAATAAGCAATTAAACAACAAATGTGTTTACTAATATAACATTTTGTTAGTTTTAGTAATCCACCTGGAAAACTTGTATATGAGGATTAGAATTGGATGTTAAAATGATCAAAGCTATTTGTTTATGTCAGTTAACTTTCATAGTCTGAACTTCTCACTATTTGAGAGTTTAATTGACCAACAATTGCAAACATCGTAAAGAAATTCTTGCTGCCCTAAATTATTTAGTTGAATCAAATTAAATTTTATAATTGGCTTAACGTACGTTAGCCAAACAGACTAAAATATTAAGTTCAACTTTGTATAACTTTAAAAAAAAATTTAATTGAAACCTGCTTAACTTATTAAAATATGTTGAAGCAACATTATAAAACATTTGTCTTTACTCCTTGTCATATATACACACACATACAGTTGAAGTCAGAATTATAGCCCACGTTTATTTTTTCCACACAGTTTCTGTTTAACAGAGAGAAGATTGTTTCAACACATTTCTAAACATAATAGTTTAAATAACTAATTTCTAATAAGTGATTTATTTTATCTTTGCCAAGATGAAAGTACATAATATTAGACTAAATATTTTTCAAGACATTTCTATACAGCTCAAAGTGACATTTAAAGGCTTAACTAGGTTAATTAAGTTAACTTGGCAGGTTAGGGTAATGAGGCAAGTTATTGGATAAAGATGGTTTGCACTGTAGACTGTCAATAAAAAATTAAAGCTTAAAGGGGCTAATCATTTAGCCTCTAAAATGGCTTTTAAAAAATTAAAAACTGCTTTTATTCTAGCCGAAATAATACAAATAAGACTTTCTCCCGAAGAAAAAATATTATCAGGCATACTATGAAAATTTCCTTGCTCTGTTAAACATCATTAAGGAAATATTTTAAAAAGAAAAAAAAAAGAGGCTAATCATTCTGACTTCAACTATATATATATAGTGTGTGTGTGTGTGTGTGTGTGTGTGTGTGTGTGTGTGTGTATGTGTGTGTATATATTTATATTTAAATAATTCACCCAGTAATAAAACTGGGATTTTAGATTTCTAAACACGTTTGAGTGTCTTTCTTCTGTTGAACACAAAAGAAGATATTTTGAAGAAGGTTATAAACCAGTAGCCAATAACTTCCAATATACTATGGAGGTCAATGGCTACTGGTTTCCAATATTCTTTAAAATATCTTCTTTTATGTTCAATATCAGAAATAAACTCAGACATGTTTAGATCAAGGCAATCCTAGGCACTATGTGGCCCTACAGGGCCTTCTGTAACTTGCGGGAACCAAAGCACTGCGCGAAATCTGCACATCGGGGGGATTGGTAGTGAGCGGAGAGCAAGTAACAGATGGCAGAATTTTCATTTTTGGGCGAACTATCCCTTTAATATATGATTGTATATTACTGTAGTGTGTTATATGTTTTAACAATTAAAACTAGGAAAGAAATCAAAACTGTATTAGCCATGTCATTAAAAAACAATTTGCTAATTACTATAAAGTCTATGACGTAAATAACAAAAGAAGTTGGAAGATTTTTCTTCTCTCCTTTAGAAGCTGTGTATTTATTTTGCTAGTTTTCAAGACTACTGTATATGATTAGCTGTATTTTATGATTAGAATTTCATATTGTTTTGCCCTTGCTGTTCTAGCTAAAATAAAACTAAAAATGTTGTAGGAAATACTGTGAAAATACATTTTTGCTCTGTTAAACGTCATGTGGAAAATATTTGAAAAAGAAAAAAAATACACGAGTGCTAATAAGTTTGACTTCAACTATACACACACACACACACACACACACACACACACACACACACACACACACACACACATATATATATATATATATATATATATATATATATATATATATATATATATATATATATATATACAACAGTTCTGTCTGTTTCTCAAATCTGATTGGCTGATAATCGTGCGATATTCTGCAATATCAGAACTCCTACAGCCTCTTTACCCTTTGTGTATTACTTCACCCACAAACAGCCAGCAAAAAGCAGACACTACAGATCTAAAGTTTAAAAGATGCACGCTCAACTGTTTAACTGTCAGCTTATGATTTGAATTCAATGTGGAAGAAAGTAGTTCCACATACAAAAGGGTTTTTGAAACTCTCTGCCTGCGGCCTCGTGCCATCGCACGCCTCCCATCAGTGCCAATATACAGCCATATCGCACTGCTACTCGTGTGATATTGCTCATATACAGGGCTTGACATTAACACCCGCCATATGCAGGTAGATTTCAACTCTGGCGGGTAAGACAGCCGCTCCCACTAGCCACATTGGCTGGTTGGAAATTTTTAAATGGAAGTTTTCTTAAAAGCAGGGTTCGACAATAAGGATGGCCTAATATGCATGCAAATGTGATCTAAGAATCGAGAAGCAGCACGACTGACAAAACCTGTGTTCTCACGAGCAAAAGAACGTAGGTGAATACCGAATGAGAGGATGATCTCTGGTCATCAGGTGATGATGATCAGAGTATGACAGGTGATGCGATGCGTGCGACTGTTTAAAACTGTGCACGCTCCCGTTTACTTGCGCAAAGCAAGCGTGTGTAGAGGAAATGCAACTGGTGCGATCGGTTCTCTTTGAAATAGACTCGACAAAAAGCAATGATCATGCACCCACAGCCCTGCTGCTTTCAAGAGCTAAAGATTGAAGAAAAAATATACATCCTTTTGTAAGCAGCAGCGGTCGCTACTTTCACTTTAATTATTCTTTAAACAGATTATTAACTGGCGCGTGTGCGCGTGATCATCCTTTCATCATCACATATGGTATGTTTTTACCTGCTTTCTTTTGCTTACAGTTATGTTTGTTAATATAGTTTATTTATCATCCTTTACAATAACATTGCTTTAATATGAGATTAACTTCCCATTTATGTGTAGTTAACTGGTGATCTGGGACCTTTAGCCAGGACAGATTACTGTGCATATTTTAGACAATAGATCATTTTAAACGTTTTTTTTTTTTTTTTTTTTAAGTTGTTTAAGTTTTGTTTAATAAAAAGAGCATGTATACAGCTATATTTTGCCTGTTTTGATCAATTTAAAATGTGTGGATAAGAAATAATTATTTCTTTTTAATGTGGTCAGAGAGAAATTAGGTAAATCCTTTATTTTGAGTACTTAAAAAGTATTGTGAAGTAAAAACTTATTGCAATGCCACAACCCATTTGCTCATGCACATTAAGCAAGCTCATACGCAACACACACAAAAAGTGAAATGAATGAGGAGGCATGTGGACAACACAACATCTAAATCAAGTCATTTTAGCATGTCAAAGTCAAATCTATTCATATAAAATATATTTTCCAAACAACAAAAGTGTGGCTAGTGAAAATGGCGAGTGGCTAGTAACGTTGGAAATCTACTAGCCAATTTTTTGTTAATTGAATAACAAAAGAAAATGGAAGATTTTTCTTCTCTCTTTTAGAAGCTGCATATTTATTTTTCTACTTTTCGAGAGAAGTTGTATTTTACGATTTGCATTTCGCATTGCTTTGTCTCTACAATCTGTTACAATAATAACAAATTCCGCAGTGTTTTTTTTTTTTTTTACATGCAACACAATAAAGATTGTGAAGGTGTGTGTATTAATTGGATAAATAAGAATATACAACTCAGTGCAGCACATGATTTATGAGAAATAACAACATTTCTCTCGTGCAACATAAAACCCCAGAGGTTTTCACCCTTTTGAGAACTGCTTCCTGTGCCGAGAACTGTGGGGTCTTTTTTGCATCCGTGTTGTGCTTTCTAAATCGATTTTGATCTTAACTGCAGGAAATCTCAGTGTAGGTGATAGCAGAAAAAGGTACATCATGCTAAAGAAGTAATATGACCAAGTTTGTTCTAACTTCACATATATTACTGCTTATTTATTTTGTCTTTTTTGCATACATTGCAAAAGATGCATTTTCACAGTAGACCTTAAATATGTGTACACACTTACACAAGTGCATGTTCTCTTTTGTGTGCCTGCAGACATGAAGGAGCTTTCTAACTGACTCATCAATGTCATGTGGATTTTATCTGAGCTGTGAACCCCACCATGGAAGAAACATGTACTAACAACACTCTTTCTTTACTCTTGTTGCGTCACACTTTAAGTTGCTGATGTTATGATCAGTTTAATTGGGTCAGAGTATGGAATATTTCTATCAGAGGCTTTGATTTGGATGTTAAGATTGTAAGATATAATTGGTAATAATATCATAATATTATTAATATATGGTCTTACTATTTTTATATTATTTTATATGTATATTATATTTTTATTAATAATTAAAGGATAAATAAATTGTGTCAAAAGGGGAAGTTGCAATGTTTAATAATCTTGAAAAAGTGCATCTATAAAGATTCTTGACATTATGTAAAGCTAGCACATAACATTCAACATTGATTGAACAGCCAGTTTGATTGAACAGGCATTTGTCATTTGAAAGGATAGAAAGCCTGGAGTAATGATCCTGAAAAGTCAGTTTGGAATCACAAGAATAAGTTTGATTTTTAAATATATTTCATCGTGAAGCTGTCATTTAAATTTCAATATTATTTCAAATGATTACAAATTTTAGTGTATTTTTTATTAAATAAACGCAGCCTTGGTGAGCATAGGATGATTTTTGAACAGTAGCGTGTTTCCTGTATTTTTTTGTTCTTCCTATAAGTCTAAATCTGCTATTGAATACACTTGTTCATGAACTGAATGTGTTTTGTGAACTGTTTTGCAGTCGGTGGTGTATCACCAGTTGTGGTTTCTAGTCTCTACCACAATATCTACTCCATCCTCAGAGAACTGGACTGTAAACCCCAAGCGGGATCCGCCTCCAATAAAGGTGCTTGCTTTCTTCAAACTAAATTACAATGGATTACAAATGTACACTTATATATTCAAATGTATATGTAGACTGTAGATATCATATTTTTTTCATTATGTACTATGATATGATTAACCAGTTAAACACCCAAAAATGAAGATTTTTATTTCTCCAAAACCATCCACTATTGTTTTTGCCTTTGCAGCAATGTTATTTTATCTTTGTCATAATGGCAGTAAATTATATTTGACTAGATATTTTTCAAGACACTTCTATACAGCTTAAAGTGACATTTAAAGGCTTAACTAGGATGATTAGGTTAACTTGGCAGGTTAGGGTAGTTAGGCAAGTTATTGTATATTGTAACGATGGTTTGTTCTGTAGACTATTGAAAAAAATATATAGTTTTAAGAGGCTAATAATTTTGACCTTAAAATGTTTTTTTTTAATTAAAAACTGCTTTTATTCTGGCCTAAATAAAACAAATAAGACTTTCTCCAGAAGAAAAAATGTTATCAGACATACTGTGACAATTTCCTTGCTCTGTTTAACCACCTTTTGGGAAATATTTAAAAAAGAAAAAAATATCAAAGGAAGGCTAATAATTCTAACTTAAACTGTATGTACAGTTTAACAGCTACTTTTTTAACAAACAGAGAGCAGAAGATAGATGTAGAATAGAATAGCAAGTGCTATAGTTGAAGGATCGAGTGTTAACTTGTTTCGATATAAACCTGAGCTTGTGAACTTGTATGTAAAGCTAAAAAAAAAATATTTAATAGGCTTCTGATTTAACAAAGTAAACACAACTACATGATGAATATACTGAAAATGCTTATCTGTCCTTTTTAAGTATGTTTTTGATATTTAAAAACTTGATTTCAAGTCAAGCATTACTGTAATTTTAAGTTTTTCTAAGAAATACATAAGAAGTACACTTTCTTATTTTTACTCCATTCCACTTTCCTTTTTACACCCCATTTTAAAAAATGAATATTTGTACCCATTTCTCAGTGAATATAGGCAATGTATTTTGGTGCATTTAAACAAAACAGATTTATTAAACAAATATATTTATTAAAATAATATTTTAGTCACCAAACATATTTAGAAATTGAAAGATAATACCATTAAATTCAAGCAAAATGTTGCAAATAAGTAAATAAATTACAACCTACCTAATTTTAACTAAATTTGTAAATTTTTTCTTCTCTTGATTTTTCCTCTTTTTTTAAATTTGTATTTACTATTTTTCTATAACATAAAAATTTGGGTGTACTAGTTTTTGGACCATTATCGTAAGTTATTTTGTTAAATAAGCTCCAGATTTGGCTTCAGCACTGACTAATCTAATGTATATGCACAGATATAATATTGCATAGCTTCCTATTTAAAATTTGAATTTAAAAGAGAGATTTGTGAGGGGTGCACTTATATATGCTGAGCACTGTATATTATCATAAGATTATTCATAATGATTAAATTTACATTTAGTCATTTAGCAGAAGCTTTTATCCAAAGCAATTTACAAATGAGGACAAGGAAGCAATTTACACAACTATAAGAGCAACAATGAATAAGTGCTTTAGGCAAGTTTCAGGTATGTAAACATTTGTAAAATATTAGTTTTTTTTTTTTTTTGTAGTTAGTGGTGGAGCCAGAGAGGGAATTGCAGAATAGTAAGGAAAGTGGAGACTAAATAGTTGAGTTTTTAGTCGTAGAGTGACTTTGCCGTTCTGATGCAGTTAAGAAGTTAATTCCGCCAACTGGGTAGATTGAACGCGAGAGTTCGGGAAAGTGATTTCTTCCCTCTATGGGATGGAACCACGAGGCAACGTTCATTCAAAGAAAAAGTTTCTGGAGGGCACAAAAATCTGCAGAAGTTAAAGCAGAAAAAAAGGAGCACAGCCAGAAATCACTTTGTAAGCAAACATCAGAGCTTTGAATTTGATGCGAGCAGCAACTGGCAGCCAGTGCAAACGGATGAGTAGCGGAGTGACATGTGCTCTTTTAGGTTCATTAAAGACCACTCTTGCTGCTGCATTTTAATTAAATGATTCAAATTAAATTTACTACAGTTTGCCGTAGTCAGTTTACTGGTATTCATGTCAAATTTTCATACCCAATAAAGCGTGTTCTGAACTATTTTGCACTTAGCATGCTTTAGAAGATGAAATGCAGAATATAGTAGAAAAGACAGTCATTTTTCCACTTGTCTTCATTTGTTTAAAATGTCAGAAATCATTAACATATCAATTACTAAGCCACATTATTTTTCATTTGCACTAGATTACCAAATGAAATACACATCTTCAGTCAAACGATGTGCGGAATTAATTGCAATCTGATTTTATTTGTGTTAATTGCGCTCTTTTCATTATGCATATATTTCAAAGCAGTCTCATCTGTTTTCCTATAGGCATGTTGAGATGGACTCTTCATAACCGGGTGGACAGAAATCCATCTATCAGTGTCCCTTTGGTCAGGGTTCTGATAAAAGAGCTTGAAAAGGTTTGATCCTCTAATATTTTTTATCCTGCTGTTCCAAACATGCAAAGATTTCACAATCAGAGTCACGGTCATGCTGTTTTTGCTGTGAATGATGAGCTGTTGAATCTTTCTCTCCTTTTCTCTGATTTTTACTCCAGGCGGAGAGAATCGATTCCAAGATTCGCATCATTCCTTTACTTCACACACTTGTCTACACAGTCCTGCAGGTCTGACTTCCAGCTTTGTTTGTTTCCGTCTGTGAATGTTTTATTTGCTTTGCTATTGTTGCGCAATCACTGATGTAGAAAACATCTGTAATGCAGATTCCCATCACAGTTGTTATTTTAACACTTCCTTGTATCTGAACTGGAAATCAACGTTGGTTTGTTTTTCAGCCATGTGCAATGCATGTTTCTCATCGGGTTCTCTGCTTTATTTCAGTCTGTATTTATTCCTGAAGACCTCTATCGAAGGATATATTTATGCCTGAAACGTTTAGTTCTGTTACCTGCACCATACTGTGCAATCGCACTTGACTATGCAAGACAGATGAAAATGGAGCAAAGTGCACCAGGTAACACAGCAAAGAAAATAAAAGCATTTGTGGTCTTTGTTTTGTGTGTCGTGTGATGAAAGAGTAGTGGTGAATAAACCTTTAGTTGTTTCGGGCACACTTTACAATAAGGTTTCATTAGTTAATGTACTGTATTTACTAAGAATAACTTATAATGAATAATAATACACATACAGTACAGCGGTTATTAATTCTAGTTTGATTTACTATTGCATTGTTAAATGCTAATTCATGCTTGTTAACATTAGTTAATGCACTGTGAGTTTACATGAACTAACAATGAACAACTTTATTTCCATTAACTAACATTAACAAACAGTGTAATAAATGCATTGTTCACTGTTTGTTCATGTTAGTAAATACATAACAAAATATTAACCAATTAATTTGGTATACCTAAAAATAGATGTCAACACATTTAAGATAATAATTAATTGATTATATATTACAAGTGCAGCAACAATAAACTAATTATTTGTCATTTAAAATCTTTTAAATCTTATGCTTTGCCACTATCTTTCAAAACACTTGGTTTTATAATTTTTTTCTAAATTAGTTTTTTTTCATTTAAAATTATTAAAATGTTGTGGATTTATTGTTTTATATGTTCACAAGTACATGTTGTTTTCTTTTCGCTCATTAAATGTCCCGTGAAGTGCTTTGAAATGTGCATTTTTATTCAATGCTTGACGTAGTCTTAACTGAAAAATGAAGAGAGGGTGAGACATAGAATAGACCCTTCCCTTTTCTTCCCCAAACAGCAAGCTTTACATGTTTATATTGGTTTTATATCTTATAAATTTTGTTAGTGTTTTGAAGCACACCAACTTATAGATGTCCTTAAAACCAACAGACTGAAACTAACACCTTCATTTTTAATTTCATGGGACCTTTAAAAGCATTAAACAAACATTAAAGACACATTTATATTTAATAACAGTTTTCTATAAAACGAACTTGATGCAGAGAGATCTTTGGATTTTTTTCTGATGACATTTATTAGTAATGTACACTTATGAGTGGTAGAAAGAGTTCTGGAAAATCTTACTCAAGTAAAATGTAGTACAGGTAAAGTAAAAGAATCTGTTGAGAATATTACTCAAAGTATGAGTAAAAAGTATATTTTATATTAAAAGTAGCACTTTTAAAAGTACTCAAGAGTAGTGAGCAGTGACTATTATACTGTAAAAGTCTAATACCTTTACACACTGAAAAAAAATATTCAAAGATGATTCCTTGGATTTACTCAATTACTTTGTTACGAGATGGTAAACAATTTATTTGGGCTGAATTTAAACAAACAAATTAAGTTGAACATTACTACACTTAATTTGTTTGTTTAAATTCAACACAAACAAATTGTTTGCAACAGTTCTGCATGCAACACTTTTTTCAGTGCATGCAATTTGTGCGTGCATGTGTGTGTGTAAACGTAACATTCTGTAGTGAATTTAGTGATTGTTTAAGGTCATCAAACATCATACCCAAGTCATCCAGTTCAAACAGTCTCTGGGTCATTGCGTGTGATAATTTTGGCCATCTTCTTGGACACTTTTAATCCATCCAAATGGTTTGCCGCATTTGTAGAGCGCCCATGTCTTGAGTTTTCAGTACGATGCAATTTAGATTCTATGTGCCATTTGATTGGACGGGTATTACAGGACTTTGTTCTACTTTAGCCAATCCACATAGACAAAAAAAAAAAAAAAAAAAAAAAAGTAGTGACTGCAGATTAAAGGAAAATAAAAGTACTGATATAGCACTAGAAATGTACTCTAGGGAAAGTAAAAGTACACGTTTATAAATGTAACGAAGTGGCTGACACAGAGGGATCCATTTGCAATATGTTTATTAAACACAGTTTAATAACAATAAGCACACAGATGTAGTGCGTGTGCAAACTCACATCAAACACAGTAGTATAAGGTTGAAGGGCTGGCGGCAGGTAAACACAGTACAAGTATGCAGGCATGGGTCAGAGGCAGGCAGCGAATATCAAAGTCGGTATGCAGGCTAGAGTACAAGGCAGGCGGCGTAGATCAGAGTCGGTATACAGGCTGAGGTACAAAGGAGGCAGCAGGCAGGACAAGGTCGATAATCTAAGCAAGGTAAGCAATGGGACCACAGGCAAGGACGAGAACCACTCAGTAGTGTTAGCCGGGGCAGAACAAGACTTCGCAATGAGATTGAGTGTGTGTGCTGCTTATAAGCGTGTGCCAGGTGATTGGGAGATGTGCTGCAGGTGTGAGTGCTAATCAGTCAATGGATGATGTAATGTCAATAGTCCGGTGATGATGACCTCTGCTGGCCAGCGAGGGGAATGACTGGGACCGAGTCAGTGACAATAAAATACTTTTTTAATTGCAGTAAATTGAGTATTTGTAATTTGTTACTTTACACCACAACTTATTATACCTGATTATATCTACGCAAAAAGGTCTTACCATTGGTGCATTTATAATTCGTGTGAGAAAGTATACTTTTTGAACATTTATTACATTCGAAAGAAACAGCATGCCCTTTTTGAAACTAGTTTCTTTATATGCACATTTCATTCCGTGGAAGTCCCATCATGTCACATTTTTCAGGTGATGCTTTCCATTTCTTCTTTCCAGGATTACTGTATCAGCGGAGAGTCATTGCTGAACACAACCTATGTAATGATCTTTATCCCCTCCATGAGAAGTAAGTACAATAGTCCTGTCACATTTCACACAATTCAGCTTAATGATTTTAAATGACAGTGTGTTATTTATTTTGATGCTTCATTGTGGTCCCTAAAATAAGTCTTTTAACATCTAATTAAATGATCATTGTCCTACATATGCTGTCTTATGTGCTGCATAAACTATTGTCACACTGAAAGACCTTTTTAAGAAGTATGTATCTTAAGCAGCATGACTTTTTCAGCATTGATAATATTCAGAATTGTTTCTTGAGCACTAAATCAGCCTAGAACAATTTCGAAAAGATCATGTGACACTGAAGACTCGAGTAATATTGCTAAAAATCAACAAAAATATGTTTAAAGTATATTGAAATTGCTATAAATCTAAAACCAATTTTTCCTTCCAGTGTTCATGCTCTAATAATAAATGTATGGTCTGATTCAGATCCTATTTCAGTTCCTCCTATTTCATATTATTATTTAGAGATGTTTGTGGTAGATTCTTATTAGTGACTGGAAATAGCTACAGTACATATTTAAATGCTACCCGCATTACCTGCCCACATCGGTCCGTAAGTAAAACCATAGTGACTCATTTATGATTTTATCATATGTTTCTCAGCATTCTCACATATATTGCATCCTTTGTGGTATGCACACCTATTATTTTCAGCCATATGTTGGGATTTTAAACAAGCAGTAACTGGCTATTTGTGATTAGTTGCTTTTATTGTCTTTGTATTGATCTTGTGCAACCCTCTCGCTGTGTTTCTTTCATCAGGGTGTTTGTGTTCGTAGATCCTGCTGTGTTTCCTCTGTCTCTGGTAAACGCGCTCAAAGCTGAGGTGGAATGCGGGAATCCTGCTGGGGACCCACTGATGTACAAACGCAGAATTTTACTGCACACGATGCTGGCTGGGTTAGGAAAACAGTGCCAGGTAGACAGGCTCACACAGGCTCTAGAGGTTTGTGCTTGCTTTAAATCATTCGTAAACTGCATTCTTGATCTACCCAAATTGAGAATATATATTATGCAAGGTTCAAAGACAGGACGTCACCATGAAATTATAGTACAAAAGGGATTGTATACACATAGAAAGCATTTTAAATGTGTTAAAACCATTTGTCTGAAAATAAAAGGTCAAAATAAACTCACCGGCCACATTATTGGGTATGCCTGTCCAACTGTTGTTTAACGCAAATTTCTTATCAGCTAATCACACGACAGCAATTCAGTGCATTTAGGCATGGAGACATGGTCAAGACTATCTGCTGCAGTTCAAACCGAGCATCAGAATGGGGAAGAAAGTTGATTGAAGGGACTTTAAACATGGCATGGTTGTTGATGCCAGACAGGCTGGAATTAGTGTTTCAGAAACTACTGATCTACTGGGATTTTTACCACAACCATCACTAGGGTTAACAGAGAATGGTCCGAAAAAGAGAAAATATCCAGTGGGAGGCAGTTCTGTGGGCACAAATGCCTTGATGATGCCAGAGGTCAGAGGAGAATGGCCAGACTGATTCAAGCTGATAGAAAGCCAACAGTTACTCAAATAACCACTCGTTACGACCGAGGTGTGCAGAAGAGCATCTCTGAAGGCACAACATGTCCAACCTTGAGTCGGATGGGCTACAGCAGCAGAAGACCACACTGGGTCCCACTCCTGTCAGCTAAGAACAGGACACTGAGGCTACATTTTGTACAGGCTCTCCAAAATTGGACAATAGATTAGAAAAACGTTGCCAGGTCTGATGAGTCTCGATATCTGCTGCAACGATCAGATGGTAGGGTCGGAATCAATAACATAATAGCATGGATCCATCCTTCCTTGTATCAATGGTTCTAGCTGGTGATGGCGTAATGGTGTGGGGGATATTTTCTTAGCACACTTTGGGCCCATTAGTACCAATTGAGCATTGTGTCAATGTCACTACCTACCAGAGTATTGTTGCTTACCATGTCCATCCCTTTATGACCACAGTGTACCCATCTTCTTCAGCTGACAAATCTGCAGCAACTGTGTGATACTATCATGTCAATATGGACCAAAATCCCTAATCAGTATTTCCACTACCTTTGTTGAATCTATTCAAGGCAGTTCTGAAGGCAAAAGGGGGTTCAACCCTGTACTAGTAAGGTGTACCTAATAAAGTGGCCAATGAGTGTATGTATGCATATCCTATTATATGTCTGTAAAAATGAAACCATATACATATTTTGACATATAATATGTATAATACTCATACCTGGTATTTTGAAGGATAACAGAAAACATTTAAATTATTTTGGTGCTTCACTGTGTTCCTAAATATAGGCTTTTAATATATAATCAGTTGATTCTGTCCTAAACATGTTATTTCTTGCTATATACAATAAATTATTGCTACACTGACTGATATTTTTGTCAAATTCTCCAATTTTTAAATACAAATGTTTATAGTTTGAATATAGTGAATATAGTTTTAGACAATATCATTTGTTTTAAGGCAATACAGATGTTGTATGAAATCAATAATTAGTGAAACTAATGACAGCAAATGAAAGTATCTGTTATTCTGACCAATTGTTATTTCATGATTAAAAAAATATTTTTTTATTTGACAGTTGAAGAAAATGTCATCAAATTCTTAAAATAACCCACATATTAACATTTACTCAAAGTCATACCTAATGAATAAAGAATAACTGAAAACTTTCAAATGGTCGTTACATTTTCCCATAGCTGCACAGGGCAGTGTTTCTCATCCACGTTCCTGAAAGACCACCAGCTCTGCACATTTTCCATGTCTCCCTAACCAAGAAGGGAACCATTAGAAGACTGAAACACCTGTAATGGGTGTGACAGACAAAGGAGGTATACAAAACATGCAGTGTTGGTGATCCTCCAGGAACATGGTTGAGAAACACTGCTGTAGGGCCCACATGAAGTCCTGATGCTCTTAGTCTAAGACGTCCAAAAAGTCTTACCGAACAGTGATTTTTTTTTTTTCCAGCATTCAGGTGAAGACATAGAGCTGTACTTCCAGGATCTAGTCACCATCTTAGAGCAGAGAGCAGAAGATGGAGCTTCAGATGATAACCAGTACAACATAAGGTTACAAGAGATCTACCAAGACATCCTGAGTCCAGCCAAAGGTAGAAATGTCCTCATCACAATTCAATAAGACAATATTTAATCTAGGCAGATTCAGATGTGCTGTCTTTTAACACTACTGGTCTGTTTAGATCCATCATGTCAAGCATCTCAAGTGGAAACTCAGCTGCCCGGTCCTGAGGTCAGCTTCCACGTGTGGACCAAAGAGGATGAGATATGTGAGTTCAGCCACTGTTCCTTCAACAATTGCTTAAAGTGTCTCTATTATACTTTTTAGAGCATCCAAAGAGTTGGTTTACATTCATACAAGGTCAAAAAAACATATTCATTTTCTAATAATATGCACTGCAGCATTAGCTCATTCCTCACAGTGTCTGAAATAGTTTGTTCAAGCTTCTGTTCTCTCTAAACCCTGCCTTACTTAGACTCTGCTGTGCTCTGATTGGCCGGATGGCTCAATCTGTTTTGATCGGTCTCCCACTTACAGCTAGTAAGAAACCAATCATTCATTACTTAATCTGTATTTTAGCACTTCCCCAGCATGTGTAAACATGACTCGTTTACAACATAGATTCCATAAACCTAAGATCGTTTACATGTTCTTAACCTAGTTATGCTTTACACTTTTACATGTAAGTTATAAACGTTATTTGTTTGAAAACACTTAGCAAGACAAGGCAAGTTTATTTATATAGTACATTTCATGCACAGCGGCATTTCAAAGTGCTTTACATAAACAATAATAAAAAAGACAAATATAAGAAAATAAAAACTAAATAAAAATAATACAAATAAAAAAAAAGATTAAAATAGACACAAACAGATTAAAATGTGTTCAACGGGTTATAAAAGAATGAAAAAGAAAAAGACATAATAGTGCGATCTGTCAGACATAGCACAATGCTCATTCAGTAAAGGCACAGCTAAACAGATGTGTTTAAGTCTTGATTTGAACGGGCCTAATGTTGGAGCACATCTGATCATTTCTGGAAGGTGATTCCAGCAGCGGGGGGCATAGTAGCTGAAGGCGGATTCACCCTGCTTTGACTGAACTCTTGGAATTTCTAGTTTATATGATCCTAAAGATCTGTGTGATCTGTTAGGTATGCATTCAGTGAGCATATCTGTAATGTATTAAGGTCCTAGGCCATTTAGTGATTTATAGACAAGTTGAGCCAGTGTAAAGACCTGAGGACAGGTGTGATGTGCTCTGATTTTCTGGTTCTGGTCAGAATCCTGGCAGCAGTGTTCTGGATGAGCTGTCTGACTGTCTCTTTCGGATGGCAGTTGAGGAGTCCATTACAGTAATCCACTCTGCTGCTGATAAAAGCATGAACAAGTTTCTCTAAGTCCTCACTGGAAACAAAGCATCTAATTCTTACAATGTTTTTGAGATGATAGTATGCTGATTTAGTTACTGCTTTGACATAACTATTGAAACGCAGACCTGACTGCTGAATAATTCCAAGATTCTTGAACTTATTCTTGACTGATAAATTGTGATTTATGACAAGCCCTGTGCACATATTTCTGAGGCTCAATACGAGTCAGCAAAGCAAATGTTTTGCAGAAAAGGAGGAGAAAATAAACATCAAACTTAAATGCTATCTTGAGTCAAATATATTTTAAAAATTTGTTCTTAACTCATGCAGCAGAAGTTGAGGAGCTACATTCAAAATAATAATAATAATTCCTTACATTTATATAGCGCTTTTCTGGGCACTCAAAGCGCTTTACACACAATGGGGGGAATCACCTCATCCACCACCAGTGTGCAGCATCCACCTGGATGACGCGACGGCAGCCATTTTGCACCAGACCGCACACCACACACCAGCTGATTGGGGGAGAGGAGACAGCGATGAAGCCAATTGGAATATGGGGGTGGTTAGGAGGCCATGATGGACAAAGGCCAGTGGGCAGATTTGGCCTGGATGCCGGGGTCTTTTTGAAGGACATCCTGGGATTTTTAACGACCACAGAGAGTCGGGACCTCGGTTTAACGTCTCATCCGAAAGACGGCGCTCACTGAGCAGTATAGCGTCCCCGTCACTATACTGGGGCATTAGGACCCACACAGACCGCAGGTTGGGCGCCCCCTGCTGGCCTCACTAACACTACTTCCGGCAGCAACCTAGCTTTCCCATGTGGTCTCCCATCCAGGTACTGACCGGGCGCAGCCCTGCTTAGCTTCAGTGGGCGACCATGTGAGAGTTGCAGAGAGCTAGCTGCCGGTCAAAAAACTTGAGAGGATAATATATGACATTGACAAAAGTAGATGTTTGTCCTTTTTTAATATCTTGTTTCAATTAAAGTAAAAATAAATTAGTGTTTTGTTATGATAATATATAAGCCAAAATCTTTCGGATGAGACGTTAAACTGAGGTCCTGACTCTCTTTGGTCACTAAAAATCCCAGGATGTCCATCAAAGAAGAGTAGGGGTTTACCCCTGGCATCTTGGCCAAATTTGCACACTAGCCTCTGTCTCCACCAATCAGCTGGTGTGTGGTGTGTGGTCTGGCGCAATATGGCTGCTATTGTAGAAAACCACCATATAAATGTAAGAAATTATTATTATTAGTATTATTATAGAATTTCAACAGTAGTCATGCTCCTCTTTGGTTTTGAAGGAATTATTGAACATGACGATTATCAAACTTTCAAAAAGCTGATATTTGTGAGTTATCGGTGTATAAGTGTGCATGGAAACATGCTCGATAATACGAACATTAAGAAAGGGGTTGATTTTATTAGAAATTTAACTCCTTTAGAAGTTCATAAAAGAGGATGTGCTCCTTTCACAGCCAAAAACAGTATTTGTTGCTCATCTATTTGTAAATCTCTGACTATAGTTAATACAACTTGTATATCATGTTCATAGTAGATCCAACTGCAAATATGACCCACAGTTGTCTATCATTGCACTTATAACTTATACCTATATCCTGCACATGCTGCTATTGGACTTTTGGTTAGACCTAAACTGCATTTCGTTGCCTTGTTCTTGATCATGTGTAATGAGTGCTTCATTCCGCTCATTTCGACCACAATGAAATGTATTTTGTTTTGTTTTGTGTTTGAAATAAATAAATCAAATTAAAATCATAAAATTGAATCCAATATCTAAAAAAACATAATTTTGACATGTTGACAACACAAACCAGGCTTTAACCACAGTGTACAGAATACTGTATAAACATTATTTGCTGGCATCCAATGAACACCATAGTAAATGTGATGACTTATTTCAGGCAGTTCAGAATCACATCATGCAGTTGTATCTTTAAAACTGTGCAGACATTTCACAAGCTACAAACATCTGAAAATGCGTAATGAGGCACTTTTAAACAGATCTGTCATGGTGATGTCTCAGTGCTCTAAATCTATTCATATTTTAAACAGGGAATGAGCTGGTTAACTATGCCCTGATGGTTCCTGCCGACCGAAGCTCTGCTTACCTGGACCAGGACGATCTAAAGCGTACCTCTGTCATGTCAACCGTGTCCACAGACAGTGGCATAGAGGGAGACATGCCCATCAGTGAGCTTTCCTCTCTGATGATGGACTTTCAGAGCGGTTCAGATGACCAGAGCAGATCCCTGTCTTTCTACAGGAGGCCGTGTGTGCGGTGGCCCAAATCAGGCAACAGAATGACGCTCATGATGGAGGCCATCAAGGGCAGTGGAGGATGTTCCCTCACTAAAGAGGAAAGAAACCTGACGGCTCGCATTGTTGTATTGGGCGATGACAGAACGTTGGGACGGCTAGCTAAGACTCTCTACACTATACGGTTAGATGCATTATTTTAAATGTGGTTTGATGTTTTCATCTTGACCCTAACAAAACCAAAAAAATTATTAAAATTGAGATTTATGCATGACTGGAAGCTGAGTAAATATGCTTTGTTGTGGTAGGATGATACTTGCCCTTACAAAAAATTACTGCAGTTTTTTTTATTTAAGAATACTGCAATTCAACTGAAGTACTACTACAGTTCAAGTGCAGCACAACTACTGCAATTCAACTGAATTACTACTACAGTGCAGCTACTGCAATAGCACTAAAGTGATACTACTACTATAATGCAGTACAACTACTGCGATAGATCTGAACTACTTCTTCAATACAACTGCAGTGCAACTACTTTCCTGCTCGATGGACAATGGTTTTCAAATGAGGTTTTAGTACTTCAGTTTTTCAGTTTCAGTATTGCTGAAGTACAGTACTACAACAATATACTGTATTGCACTTTTCAGAAGTATAGCTAACTACAGAAATACATCTACAATACTGCAATACATAATATACCTATACCCATGATGTACCTAAGTGCAATATATATATAACATATCCCTATTATGCCCCGCTCAGTTTATTTAATTTTACTTCAGTTTTACTGCAGATTTTACCGCTGTTGAACTTTATTGCATTGTAGTTAAACTGTTTATACAGTACCTCATAATACTGCAATTTTGCAGTTGCATATACTGTATAGGCTACTGCTGTTGTACTATTCATTAATTTTTTTTATTCGTTTCTGCAAATAAAGTCTTAAAATTCAAATTAGAAAATTAATTGAATCCAAAAAACATCCCTGAAAAAAACTACAAAATATTCTTGGAAGATTGTTGAAGAACAAACCCCTTGAAACACAAGTGCAGTACAGTTCTTACCACAACATTGGCATATTAAATTACAGCAGCACAAGTGCAGTAAACATGAAGTTTACTTGTTTTACTCAAGTATTTTGTAACTTATGCTGCTGTTGAACTTTATTGTACTGTGTTTATACTTCATTGCAATCTGTACTTAATTTTACTGCAGTAATACTTTTATGCTGCTGTACTGCAGTTGTACTACAGTTTACTGCAGTTCTTTTTTGTAAGGGTGGTATTTGGTGGAGATGCGATTATTTGAATATCTGGAGGGTCAGATTCTCAGAATCTGATCACTTTGATTCACACAGTGCATTTTTGGCATTTCCAACATATTACTGTGCAACTGAAGACTGCTTTTTGGTGTCCAGGCTGACATATTTGAAAATTGGAAATCTGCAGGTTAAAAAATCCAAATTAAGTTCTTTACCATGCATTTTACTAAACAAACATTAGGTTTTGCTATGTTTACAGTAGGCAATTTACAAAAAATGTTCATGAAACATGATCTTTACTTTGATTTAAGTCATAAAAGGAAAAACTCATATATATTTTTGGCTTGTGCAACATAAGGCTGATTTTGTAGTCCAGAGTCAGATTTAAATACATTGAAAACATTATAAAGTGTATTTACTCCCTTGATGAAATAGCTTCTCTTTTTGCCTTTGTCAGTGTAACATTATCCTTTAGAAATCCCTCTGAAATGCTGACTCGATGCATAAAATCACTTATTATTAGCGATATTGAAAATACTTATGGTGCTTAATGTTTTTGTGGATACTGTAAATAGCATTTATTTAATACAGTGTAGAAATATTTACTGTTACATTTGGTCACTTTCATGCATCTGAACAAGAATATGCCGAACAAATTCTGAACATTTCTGAACAAGTACATTTATATCTTGTTCATGCTCAGGAAAAGGGAGGCACGACATCTGCTGCTAACAAAGAGAGTGAATATGGAGATGTATTACATTCCAGTGACTGACCAGCCACCTTTAGTTCAGGTAACAGTTTTTTCAGTAAAAAACGGATAATGACACCTCAGCTATGAATGCTGCTCTATGGATAAGCTGCACTCTTTGTACTCTAGTAGGGGTGTGCATTATTTATAGATTACAAATACATTGTAATATTGCTTGTCATTGACTTTAAAAACACTGATTGTGTGATGAAGCCTGTTAGAATGTAATTAGAATGACCCTGTAGTTCAAGTCATAAATGCAAATAATATGATGTGTATATAGAAAATATTAACTGTGTCATGGCAAAGAACATTTATTTATTTATTTTAATTTATGATTATTTATTATTTGCAAATATTTTTAAACAAACTTATTTTTTATGGTATTGGAAAATTATGAATTTAATCCATTTAACAATAAGGCTGATACAACAAAATGTGGAAAATGTTAAGTAATATCACAGTAGTAAGAGTAAACCCCCTCCCCCTCAAATATCAGTGCGTAATTTTAGACACAATTTTGTCAGTTTTTTCTGTTTTGTCAGTAAAAAACAAGTTTGTACGTCTCACATACATCACACTGCAGTGTTTCTTTTTGAATTCATCTGTTTTGATGATTCAGTGATGCTTTCATAAAACCCATATGGAAAACTGATATATGCAAATTATGTATATAAAATCTTGACAAGATTGGATTTTTACACATATCAAATCTGTCATAAATGCAAACAGTATTATTTATAATATTACAATTTTTTCTGTAATAAGCAGTTATATTTGTTTGTGTGTGTGTGTGTGTGTGTGTGTGTGTGTGTGTGTGTGTGTGTGTGTGTGTATATATATATATATATATATATATATATACTGTAAAACCCAGCAGGCAACTTTATCAACCGAGTTAATTTGAGTTCTCTTCATTTATTGGGTTTTAGTGTGCTCAAATCACTTTGTTTACTCAAATGCATCTTATTGGGTTTTACAGTGTATTTATGTTATATATATATAATATTTCCATATGAAAGAACTTCTTTCAGTTCTAAATTATCTGCCATTTTAAACTGATTGTTTGAATAAATGAATCTGACCATCCCCTGTTGGTAGTTTTAGTTGTCATATTTACCCATAAAAAAGTCTCAGCCTCCAAAAATACTGGCAGAAAGCACGTTTGACTATTATTATTACTATTGTCAAAAAATTTGCTTAATATTGCCCATCCATAGACTCTAGAGCCTTCCATTTGAGGAAGCACCCAGTGTCTTACTCCAATACCTGTGTTTTCCAGGAGGGTGTTCCTGAAGACATGCTGACACTAGCAGGATATTTGGGAAGTGTGGATCCCTGGTATGACAGTAACATCAATGGCTTAGGGGCCATGATTCTGAAACTGGCACAAATGGTAATGTTTTACACTTCTCACGAGTCTCAGAATTAGAAATTGCAATTACCATATCTGGTTCCAGTTCCTCTTTTATATTCCATATTCTTACCGATTCAGCTGTGAGATAATTTCACTTATAAATAACTTTAAAACAATCATTGCACTATATTTTCCACCTCCAGTCCTTCATGTTTTAGTATGATTGCATTCAATGTCTTTTCAAGTAACATTTATATCGATATTAGGAACAAAAAACAAATATGCAAAAAAAGATCATTAGAATAAAAGGAAAACATTTTTAAATGATCTTCAAATCCGAGTTGAAACTTCTGAAATGTTCTCTAAATTCAAGACAGTTTGATTCCAGACATTTATTTTAAACCTTCATTTTATTCGTTGTCATTGTAGCAGTCAAGTCAGAGCGAATCTTCACAACCCAACACCTTCCTGCTAGATATCATCTCATACTACACACGAGTCAGCCAGCATCCGCTGCATCTTCCCATCTACTCTGTCAAGGTTAGATTGTGTCACGCATCAATTTTCTTGATTATCTGAGTTTACTGAATGAATGGATGCTTATTTAAAAAAGAAATGGTCTTGTTGTTACCAGAAACAGAACATGATTGTAAACACTGTAGCGTGTTTTTCTGCTAATGTGTGTGTGTGTTGTCATGTGTAGATCTGCTTCTCTGGGCTCAGTTCACCCTCAGTAGAGGAAGTGTTTGTGGCTCAGCTCATGATGGACTTCCCCGAGGTCAAACACTACAGAGCCACATTTAAAGACACCATCAAAGGTGCTAATTTGTTGTACTTTTACCACATGATATGTCTAGATGTCCTTTCGTCTGCTTCTACTAAATATTTGTCATTATTTTTGGCTTAAAGGTTCAGTGCGTCACAGAAAATATAACCCTCAAGAATATCAGGGTACTGTTGTGTCAATTAATTACAGAAAGGTGAGTTTTCAAAACAACATTGACCTAATTTAGAGCCGTTATTGTCTTTAAATAAAATGTTTAAGTATTTGTACATGATCAGAATATTTTTACTTTTGGAAATTTTACTTATAAATCTTAACATGTATAATATAATTATTTTTATTTGTTAGAGTGGATTCAATCCACCTCTTTATAAATTACATTAAATGGTTTGTTTGTGAATCGAGTCTCTAGTTAATGATTTACAGATTCAAAAGATCCGGTCAGAGTGAGCCTCCAAATTGTGATTTCCAAATAAATGATCTGGTCAGATCGAGTCTCCGGGGCCTTTTTTTTTTTTTAAAGTAATCCAGTGGTATTTTGGATCACGGATTGGATTTAATATTTAAAAAGGGTTTTTTAAAAGTAACAGAGTAATTTTGAATTATGATCAGACCATGTAATGCAGTCTTAATTTTGATTTGGATAAAACCTGCCCTTTGAGTTATTCAAAACTTTAAACTCAGGTTGGGATCTATTTGATTAAAAAAACTGGATTATCCTGATCCCATCAGAACTGGATTCAGTTGTGATTTCTTTGAGCCAAATTAACCTAATACAAAAAAAAAAGTTGTACTTTTTAAGGGAATGTCAATAGGAAGTCAATAGGACGCATGTCACATCAACAAACAAAACAATATCATAGCAGTTTTGTATTAGAACAAACTAAAACATGTTAAGTGTTTGTTGATTACAGTGTTTCTGTTTCTTACCATTAAAAAAGACAATGGCTGTTTGTGTCCACTGGTATTTTGCCTACCTGTTGTTCTTTGCTAAGCCAGTAAACTACACTGTTGGTTCCAATTCTAAAATTTGGTATTTGGTACTTGGATCATAGTGATCCAACCCAATGTTCCTGTAAAAAACTGTCAAAAAATGAAGATAGATAAGTTAATACTGGATAGCAAAACATGGGGTTTCAAAATCTGGAACAATTTGATCCAGATTCACTTTTTTTGTAAAAACTGGGCCCTGGTTATCCGGTGTTAGGTCGTGACATATCGGTGATGTCTGTCCAAGCCGCTACTCATTTGAACTGAGAAAATATTTGTTTATGACCACTTTTTAGTCATATCACACATTAAAGGGATTTTATTATAAAATTATGGTACACACAAAAGTCTCTGGACTTGCTGCATCACAGACACCAATATTTTAACAATTTATAAAAATGTAATCACTTTCAGGCCATCTGATAAATATACATAGGGCAGTGGCGCAGAGGGTAGCACGTTCGCCTCACAGCAAGAAGGTTGCTGGGTCGCTGGTTCGAACCTCGGCTCAGTTGGCGTTTCTGTGTGGAGTTTGCATGTTCTCCCTGCCTTCGCATGGGCACCCCTCTGGGTGCTCCGGTTTCCCCCACAGTCCAAAGACATGTGGTACAGGTGAATTGGGTTGGCTAAATTATCCGTAGTGTATGAGAGTGTGTTTGTGGATGTTTCCCAGAGATGGGTTGCGGCTGGAAGGGCATCCGCTGCGTAAAAATTTGCTGGATAAGTTGGCGGTTCATTCCGCTGTGGCGACCCCAGATTAATAAAGGGACTAAGCTGACAAGAAAATTAATATATATATATATATATATATATATATATATATATATATATATATATATATACACATCAAGAAGGTCGCTCAAAAGCCTGAGCTGGCGTTTTAGGGTGCTCCGGTTTCCCCCACAGTCCAAAGACATGTGGTACAGAAGATTTTGGTAAACTAAATTGTCCATAGTGTATGTATGTATGCGAATAAGTATGGGTGCCCAGTGATTTGCTGCATAAGTTGGCGGTTGATTCCGCTGTGGCAATCCCAGATTAATAAAGGGACTAAGCTGAAAAGAAAATAAATATATATATATATATATATATATATATATGTAAAAATATAGTGTGATCGTGATTTCACTTCGTAAACATTTATTATTACCATTTTTTAAACCTCACAATACAGTTTGACAACAGCTCCTTCATATTACTTCACACTTAACAAGTGGATTCAAATTATCAGAGTGACAGTTTGATCCAAATGAGATATACATGGCCCTCTGAAGGGTACTTTAAAGTGAAGACCTCTAATTTGAGATGTCATTCCAAACCGAAGTGCTCTATAATGGCCACTTTGAATGGCCCTTCCAAGTGAAGGATTTTAAAAGGTAAAACTGATGGACACTTCATACCCTGTCTTGATAGGTTTCAAATATCTGGTTTATGAAGGGATTATTGCACAGGGATGAGCTCTTCTGAATGGAAAACAATGTGGAATTAAGGATCCTCTGACTTAAATGATCTGGCCAGAGCGAGTCTTTGGTTAATTCACTGATTCAAATGATGATGTCTGTTCAAGTCTCCAGATAACAGCTATCTGATTCAATCAACTGTTGTCAAAAGTAAAGCCATTATTACCAAAAGAGTTAAACCTTGTGAACAAAACTGTCTAATGATACTTTTGGGAAACAAAGTCTTCAGTTAAAAAGTCAAAGCAAGTCTCTTGTTTACATCTCACCAATTCAAGTGATCAGGTCAGAGCAAGTCTCTAGCAAGGATTCACTGATTCAAAGCATTCAGTCAGAGCGAGTGTCCAGTTAATGACTCTTTGAATCAAAGGATTTAATTGGTGTGAGTCTTCAGTTTACTGATTCAAATGGTCTTTTCTTAGTAAATCTCCAAAAAAAGATTTACTGATCTGTTCAGAGCGAGACTATTGTAAACTATTATTTTAGTGTATGCTTAATTTTCTTATAAAAATGATCTATGCTATAAGTATTGTTGTTTACATTTCTCTTAGGCCTCAATAAGTGACAGAGAAAAGGAAAAGGGAATGTCTTTGACCACAAACGGCATGATGATCAGTGTTTTGCCTTCCTGCAGAGTCAAAAGTATGTCACATATTTATTTTAAATAATATAATATTTCAGTTTTTTGTATAATGGCAGTCAGGATATTGTTGCAGTGTTATTTAAGTATTTTTTGTTAAATGTTTTTGTGGTATGTATTAATTTTTTAGATAAGTCATTATTAGTACTAATACATTTTATTTTATAATGCATTAGTAATTTTATTGTTGTTATTATTGTATTTTTGTGTTTATTTTATGTTGTATTTATTCATATATTTACTTATTAGTTATTTTAACAGCTGAAATAAGATATGTTCAATAAGTAGGCTACATATGTATAAAAATTTCAAAAGTGTTTTATCACTAACAATGTTATTTGCCCAGTAACTAGTTACCAATGGATATTTTTGCTTAGAAAGAAAAATAATGAATGAATTTCTTTGTTTGTATAATTGTCACTTTGTTTTTGCAGGTCTACATAGTCTCAACATAAGTTTCCAAGATATGAATCCCTTAAGGCCAAGCAAAGTAAGTGGATGTGTTGACAGAAAATCTGAAAATATTTAATATTTTTTATTATATTGCTTTATTTATTAATTTTAAGGAAAATTCAAAAAAATATATATGTTCTGTCCAGCCTTCAATCAGAGCTGTTAGCGTCAATATCAGAGTTCTGGAGAAGCAGACATTCACAGTTTGTCTGGATAAAGACCCACAAAAAACATTCAAGAAAGTCCAGAGGTGAACAATCAGATTATGTCCTTTTATATATAAAATATTGACATATTGAGCTTTTACTAATAGCCAACATGACCTGTTAGATGAAACATAAACCCTCTAGAGTCATTATAAAATCATGTCATCTTTTGCACACAGTATTGAAGTTTCTCCATGCTTGGATCCGGGATACTGCCAACAAGCGAGTACTAAGTCCAAGTACAGTTTGGGAGAAGGAGGAGAATCACTAAATAAATACCTGAATAAAACTCTCACGCTACCAATCAACACCTTCTGTGGCTCCGAACAATGACATTATGACTTGTTTTCTATGACACAAGCACTTGAGTCAGAAGACAAACTGAAACTTGACTCCACTCGGTAGCTTTTAGTGTGTTTTATGTGTGTTCATTTCCTCTTTTAATCTCTTAAAATACATGTAACCTCGAGAGGCCATGGCTTCCTGTTGAACTGTGAACAGACACGCTGGTAAGCCTGAGACTGTTTGAATGTGCATATTATCTGTCTGAAGATTGACCTTGATCTAAAGGGCATGATTGTGATCTTGATCTAAATCAATTTCAACATCCTGCAGTATGCACAAAACACAAAAACAAAACATGTTTACACTACTTTTATGACAGTACTGTGTTTGTATGATACTTGGACATAAACACTTTGTAAGCATTATGATGTTCATTTGATGCTTACCATTTATAAAAAGGGATAGTTCGCACAAAAATGAAGATCAATCATCCTTAAGCCCTTTTCAGATCACGCGATTTTTATTGTCGGTTACGAAAGTCAGATTATGTGATTTGTCTTGACAAATTCTTAACTTGTCTCAGGAAACAAGTGTGCCAGACTACACCTTCCTTCACAATCAGTCAT